TCATCAAGTTCGAGGTCGATCAAGATTATCATCAAGCTAGAGGCCCATCAAAATCATCATCACGCCCGAGGCCGATTAAGATCATCATCACGCTCGAGGCCGATCAAGATCATCATCAAGCCAGAGACCGATCAAGATCATCGCCAAGCTGTTAGAGGCCAATCAAGGTCAACACACCACCAAAAGGCCGATCAAGATCAACAAGCCGCCAAGAGACCGATCAAAATCAGCACGCCGCCAAGAGGCCGACCAAGATCAACAAGCCGCCAAGAGACCAATCAAGATCAACAAACCATCAAGAGGTCGATGATGATAAACAAGCCAAGAATTCAAGAGAAAGAATCAGAGGATAAATATTAGAGATTGTAAAAATCCCGAAATACAAATACAAATTGTATTTAGTCCATGAATTATAATTTCTCCAGAAATCTCGTATGAAAAGTAACTTTATAAATAATACAAGAACCCATAGGGCTAATTTCATAAATAATGTAATTTAAAAAATTAATTACAAATTTAAGGTAGCTTACCAACTAAAATTAAAAAAAATGTAAATAAAATAATATAAATCCGAAATAGGGTACATTCCAAAACTATTGACAAAACTAGGGTGGTAATGGTTAAAGTCAAAACTCGTGGACAACGTATACGAGTTACACATGTCCGCTTGAATCTAATGTGGCGGGTGGAGGACCAGTTGAACTAATAAATCGTGTAAGTTGTACGTGATTCGAGGGAACTTGTGTACAGTGTACACGATTTACCTAAAAAACGTGTACATCGTACACGATTTACCTAAAAAATGTGTACATCGTACACGATTTAAGGGAACTCATGTACGATGTACACGTTTTCCAGGTAAATCATGTACATTGTACATGAGTTTCCTTTGTACACGTTTCACCCAGCAAATTTAGATATATATTTTTTTTTTCCTTCTAAATTTTTTATACCACGTCTGATTTGTTTTTATTTTATTTTTTATTTTTTTTTGCAAAAATTTTGATCTTTTTTTTTTGTCTTTTGCCGATGGCTGAATTATTGTGAACTAAATTCATGTAGCACAAGTTGATTAATAAAAGTTCGGTACACTAAATTGATGTACCACATTATAATAAAAATTAACTTCAATGATAAACTAATTTCAAATCCATTAATAAAAGTTCAATACACAAGTTCATTTAAAAGTAAATAAACTGAAATATTATAGAATATCGATAAAAACTCATGTACCACATGATGGCCGTCTTCTCGAGCGAGCTCCACAATGGGTTGAGACATAGCAATATGTGGTGATGGATGATGAATTATATGATCAATATCTTGTTGTGTTACCTCAATAGGTAATAGTTGTGGTAATGAATGTAGTGGATGAATTGAACTTGATGTGATGATTGAATGAACTAAAAGTGTAGGAATCATAATAAAATATAACTAAAAAAAGAGGGAGGAATAAGATCACCTCCGACGATGACTAGTGGAGGCAGTGGTGGAGGCAGTGCGACGACGACAGAGTTGATAGATTAGAGGAATAGGAGAGAGAGGATTATGGTTTTTTGTTTAAAAATGAGAAGGGGGTGATGAAGAGGAAACTCGTGTTGCATTGTACATGAGTTTGGTGAAATGCACACGATGTCCTACAATACGTGGCTCCAACTGTGCGCCGTTGTTGCCACATCAGACACAATTCATGTGCATTGCATAGAGTTTATCGAATTCGCGTCCATTGGATGCGAATTTGCTAAATCACTATCCCATTTTTTAAATTACTTTGAAAACACTACCTTATTTTTGTTTTTTATTTTTTAAATTACATTATTGAAAAAAAATTTCGAACCCATATAAAGTTCAAAACCATGGGTACACAAATTTATACTGAAATGCCAAAAAAATATCTATTCGCCTTACCAAACTAAGCTGTATACTTTTAGAAAGTGAAGAGTATGAGTGGTTAGGAGAGAAAATATAGAGCAATGGATGGAGGAGAAAGGATGCGAATCAGAGTTTGACTTCGGATACAAAATTTCCTTTCATTATAATTGCTAGGGTTGACGTGAAGTGTAAGATTTTTTTTTTTCTCTTTTAAATACTAATTAATTATATATTAATATCTTACCATCTCCATATATATATATATATATATATATATAACATAAATATACAATATAATATTATATTTTAATTATACTGGATTGATTCTTTAAACCATAAATATACAATATAATATTATATTTTAATTATACTGGATTGATTCTTTAAACCAATTCAATTAAAGGTGTAAAACTATCTTATGGGATAGAGTGCCTATTGGTACCCAACCCGATCTCACCTATTTGACCAAGTATGGGATCAAATCAGAAATTTTAATTGGCGTCCCAGATAGAGAAAGATAGGGAAGGGGAAGAGTATCCCGCCCCGTCTCATTTAACATTTAAATAATAAATTATTAAATACTTATTATAATATTAATAGATATATTTTTTTTAACTTATAATATTAATAAGATATTAATTTTTATAAATATTTATTATGTTATACTACAATATTTAAAGTTTATTTAAAAAAAATAAAACATTTTTAAAAAAAAGTACATTATAAAATTAATAATAATAGGGAAACCCATTGGGGTTAAGTTTTAAAATAATGGCATTTTAAAAAGAAATTACAAAAATAACGTTAATTTAAAAATAATAACTAAATAAATGTAAATTAAATAAATAAATACAAAAGTAACTTGTTTTTGAAACTATTGACAAAAATAGGTTAGGTCAAAGGAGGGGTCAAAACTCGCATACAATGGACACTACTTCCGTGCAACGTGTATTGTCTATGTGGCGGGTGGGTTGTCATGACGTGGAAGTCGCGTACGATGGACGCGACTTCCGTTTGAAAGTCGCAGGCGATGTATGCGACTTCCGTTTGAAAGTCGCAGGCGATGTATGCGACTTCCAAGGAAGTCGCATGCGATGTACGCGACTTCCTCTTATTGAAGTCGCATGCAACGCACGCGACTTCCACATATTTTCCGTTTTTTTTTTCGTTGAAGTCGCAGTCGTTGGCTACACGTAAAGCCATGTCGACAGTGAAATCGCGGCCTAGGACCGCGATTTCGTCCTAAATCGCAGTCGACGGCCGCGTTATCCTAGCCTACCTTTGCCATTTGTTTTTAAAAAGTAATTATTTAAAAAAAAATCCAACCCATTGTAACCCATTATATTGGAGACGAGTCCCCACAAGGAACTCACTCCCATTTGAGGCCACCTGCATCCCCGCTCCAAAATTATGGCAAGAGAAAAATCTCTGCAAGGACGTAGATGGGGATTGCTCCCCAGTCCAGTCGTATTCTCGTCTCTAAGTCCACAAGATGACCCAAATACAACTCATAGCAAATAGTCTACCAAATTTAAAAAAAAATAAAAATATATATCCAATCCAATTTATAGAAAAACTAAGTTAATCCGTACCAATGAAAGGTTGATAATATGAATCTCCATAATATTCAAAACAAATACAAGGCAACTCAAGCTTCATTCAAGACAAAAACATCAATTATGGATTTCAAGTTCATGCTACATTAAATAAGGCTTCATTTAATTCTTTATGGTTACAAAACCCTTAGTTTGCTGATTTAATCTTTAATTTTTGGATTTATGGTGTATTTTTAAGTATTTTAAGTTTTAAGACTTTTCATTTACTTTTTAGGTTACAATTAGTTAATGGTTGTTTATGGCATGACTTAAGTGTTCCAACCCTTCACATGCCCAATATGTTACTTTTAAGGGCTATTGTGAAGGTTATATATAGTCATGTATGTCAGCGTTGAGAATATAGAATATTGAATTGAGATGTAATGAAATGAGCCTTTGAGCCTTTCTTTTAACCAAGAGCTAATGTATTTTACGATCTAGTGATAGTTTGCATGTTTAGGATCATTCAAGTGAGACTTGATCTATCTTGCCTATGGAGTGATTCGAATCTCAAACAATGAGCAAATTGTTTTCTTGTCTTGAGATATTTGATCAACAGGATAATCCGATTTTTACTTTCCTTGGCTTGATTCCACAATCGTTTTCTTAACATTTAGAAACCTTTGAGAGTTGGATCTAAGAACCTTGCTAACAAACAAGATCCATAGAACTCAATCCCAAAAACCCCGAAAACGATTGTGGAATCAACCTAAGGAAAGTAAAAATCGGATTACCTTGTTAATCAAATATCTCAAGGCAAGAAAACAACTTGCTCCTTGTTTGAGATTCAAATCACTCTACAAGCAAGATAGATCAAGTCTCACTTGAATTATCCTAAACATGCAAGCTATCACTAAACATGCTCTTGGCTAAAAGGCTCAAAAACTCATTTTATTACATCTCAATTCAATATTCTATATTCTTAAAGCTGACATACATGACCATGTATAGCCTTCAAAATCGGGCATGTGAAGGGTTGGAACACTTTCCATCAATGCCATAAACAACCATTAACTAATTGTAACCTAAAAATTAAATGAAAAGTCTTAAAACTTAAAATACTTAAAAATACACCATAAATCCAAAAATTAAAGATTAAATCAGCAAACCAAGAGTTTTGTAACCATAAATGATTAAATGAAGCCTCATTTAATGTAACATGAACTTGAAATCCATAAATTGATGCTTTCGTCTTGAATGAAACTTGAGTTGACTTGTATTTGATTTGAATATTTTGGAGATTCATATTAGTTGACCTTAGGTCTAAACTCAACTTGGGCTGACCTTTGGACTTTAACCGATGAGAGGCTGATTCACAATAAACTTGTCTCATTCTATGTGATAATGGTAAGTTATTCATAAGTACCCAAGAAATCAATTTTCTTTTGAAATCATATTAATCGACTACAATATTTCACTATTATTATTATAACAGAAAAAAATGGGATATTAACTGTCACATAATCTCTGGTACAATCCAGTAGAAATCACATTGCCAAACGTAGAAATATGATCATTAAAAAATTACTGCAGCAGTAAACATATATACAAAGTTTGATTCAATATTTACATTCCTTGAAATAAAAAATTGAATATCTTATACACAAAACTTCACCCAATAAAAGCAACAAAGTTCATGACAGTTAAATTCACTTTTGGTTTGAAGTAACCATCCTGAATCCAAATCTCTTACTCATACTTTGTACTTTTTTCTCTAAGTTTTCCTATATAAAAATATCCTCTCCTATTTAAGCACCTAACCTCCTAAATAAAGGGGCAAATTGAACCCCCAAAAGAAATAAAAGGAAAAAGAAAAAGAAGTGCTAATATCAACATAATTACCAGAGCTGATGAGTATCAGCCAACAGTTTCAAACACCGACCAGAAGGTGGAGTAAGATAAGTAAATATGTAGAGCTGTACAGTTTGTCCAGTTAAGGCCCTTCCCCTTTATTTACTCATTGAGGGAGCGCCTTCTGATAGCTTCTGTAATGGCTGCGACGTTAAAAAGTTAGTCCGACGAGCCTGCAAGTTATGAATATAATGTTGAATTCGTTGCTTATCAGCTGAGGTTAGAGAAAATGGAGGGTTAAGTTTAAGGGATTCAGCTTCTCCCAAAATGAATGAGAGCAGAAGCATGGCTTGCGAGTAGGCAGCTGCTGCATTTTCCTTGCTTTCCATGTATTCATCCACCTGGAAAAAGAATATTTAAGAATTGTTCAACAGGAAGAGCTTCTAAGGAGAAATAATAATAAGGTTAATTTATAAAATTTGGTCCAGAAGCTTTGATAGTTGTATTCATTTGGTCTCTAACTTTAAAAGTTTTACCCCACTCGTAATTCTATATAGTACTTACCATGAACATCATTAACTGATTTAGCACATGGCGAAAGGAAGTGGATAGTTGGACTAAATAAAGTATCACGTGTCACCTACCTTCTTTTGGAAACAAAGGTATCAAATTTTATTATAAATGGTATTACTCTATTTTGTCTAATTGGGATGTTATTTTGTCATTTGTTTTTCACGTGCTCAATATGTACTCAGAATATATATACATATATATTTGTTCAATAGATATGTTATATGTCATTTTTGGTTCACAATGTTAACGGTAAAGACTTCATAGAATCATAATACAAAGCTTAATAATATAATTAAAACTTTTTAAGTTCAAGAACTAAATTGGCAGAGGACTAAATTTATAATTTAACCAAATAATAATAATAATAATAATAATAATAATAATAATAATAATAATAGTAATAGTAGTAGTAGTGATAGTGAAGGTTGCTTACAGCACCACTCCTCCCAAGATCAAGTGCTTTTTGGAATATAATTTCCATAGCATCAGGCATCTTAGAGGCACCTGCATATAATTTCAAATACAAATAGTAAGGTGCGAACTTAACAATCAAAACCAGAACAGCTAGAACGAAAATAGAGCAAATAAGGCTTTCAAACCATCGATCTCTCGGATATTTTGAAGTAACTTGTCGGCCTGGTCGACTGTGGCGATAAACCCTTGCTCTGCCCACTTAGAAACAGATGATGGCCTATTAAAATCTATATTTTCTTCCTGACTTGCAGCAGAGTCAGTGTCTTTCTGAAGGGGGGTAGAATCTATTTTCGAACTACTTTTTGATGTGTCATTTTTGGTAGAAGAAGCCAGCCAAGCATTGCAAATTTCAACGGCTTTCTGCCATAAAGCTAAAGCAACCAATTCAACCGAAAATGATTCTAAAAACATTCCTGCATTACACTGCATAAGCAACAATCAGGGCTCCAAATTTATCCTAAAAGAAATGAAATATTTTTGTGCACCCATGATTTGATCCTTCATCTAATTCATATAAAAACGGATGCATGAATTTGAAGATGAGGACACGGAAATTAAGAGTGCAGAAAAGTGAATCCAGTAGTTGTATGTAACAATCTAATAAACACACACCTTTTCTTGTGACAAATCCGAAAGAACCTGGACATAGTGATGAAATAGCTGGAGCCTGGTAGAGGGATGCAATACAGGTAGTCCTTGTACTTCTCTTAACATAGATGCTGCACATGAGAATTGACCTCGACTCCGTGAACTTTCTCCAGTAACACTTGAACTACCGATAAGCTCCTCTTTCTGGGCTTTGGCGGTCATATCCTGATGAATACTGAGAGGAGAATGGGAAATTCTTGATGAACAACCTTGTAATGATGTTTCAAGATGATAAGAAGAAGTCACCATTGAAGGGCAATGAGCATTCACGAGGACATAATCTTTCTCAATTGACTCCATTGAATCAGTAACTGAGGGGAAAAGGGGACAAACAGAAGATAAACCCATGAAAACATCTAAGAAAAAAGAGCAATATCTAGATCAGGAAAAAAAAAACAGACCTTGAATCTGATTCAAGGATTGTTGATTACATTCAAGAGATTTTCTTAGATCATCATCTAATCCAAGATTGAGGATTTGTTCATGTAAACTTTCTACAACCGAGCAGGCGTTTTCCACCCCGGATAATCTGTTATGTACGGATGAACTAGCAACTTTTGCATCTCTGTTTGATGATTCAATAGGTTGTTCTAACTGGGACTTATCCTTTGTTGCTTCTAAGCTGACTGATTCAATTGACTGAACTACAGATGCTGCCTCTACAGCTTGATTTGACCTAAAGTAGAATAGCATAAATCAGTATGAACATCAACTTGAAGAGCGGATCTATGCATACCAAATGCACCTAAAGGAAAAGAATAATCTCTAAACGGCTGAAAATAATACCTCGGCTCCTCAAAGAATTTGTGATGAAAGAACTCCTTAAATGTCAGCCGTTCAACTGCAAATTGAAAGACTTACTTTTTCATTTTCTGTTGCAATTAAATCTTGTTGAAACTCAAGTATAAATATTAATATAGTTAAATTACAAGCTTAGTCCCTAAACTTTTAGGGGTGTGTTTAATAGGTCCTTGAACTTTGAAAAGCATCTACTAGGTCTCTAAACTTTCAAATTTGTATCTAACAGGTACGAACTTCAAAAGTATCTAACAAGTCCCTATACTTCATTTTGGGTATATTTAAAAAATTTACGGACTTATTAGACATAAAATTGAAAAGCCATTAGACACAAAACTAAAAGTTTTAAGGACTTAGACACTTTAAAGTTCAAGTAACAATTAACAATTAGACTTAAAATAAAATATTTAAGGACCTATTAAAGGTTAGAGACTGATTAAAACACAAACTTGTAATTTAACCTATAAATATTTATATTTACTAGTATGAAATCTCTAGGGGAAAAACATAAATCTGCCACCTTGGTTAATTATCCCAGCACAGTTCCACACTTACAAACTGCATCACAGCAACAAATACCTGGATTTTGACGCAAAAGGCTTCTGCAAAGATTCAAAGAGTCGGGATGTAGCTGTTTCAAGGCACCTTTAGGAAATCTTAGCTCAGTGGATTCCAAGATATTCTGAAAGAGCTATATCAAGCAATAAAACATTTAAAAACAACCACACTGCAAGATTCATTGATGATATATTTTAATATTTTAATTTGATCGTGTACGGTAATCACTAAAGGAAATCGATATGCTAGTTTTTCCCAACCTGATATGGATTATTGCCACTAAATGGAAGCTTCCCTGTCAATAGCTGGAACAAAATTGCTCCAACACTCCATAAATCAGCCTGCACATATGCAAAACAATAAAATCAGAATGAGGGGATTAGAATGAGGGGATTTAATTATAAAGGTTTAGGCCCGTTTGCTAGTGATTTCATTTTTTACTTTCTGTTTCCGAAATGTACTTGCTCCCTTACAATTTCTTGAGAATGCTTTTCATCTTTCTTTATGAACACATTTGAGTTCTCAACCAAATTTCTAAATTAAAAATAAGTTCTTGAGAAAAAACT